ATTTCGTCCATTTCGATATTTAAAATTTCATTAAAATCGTTCTCTTTATTTTCATTATACCCTTCTTTTTGTAAAAATCCTAACCCGAAAGCTCTGAGTACATCTCTTCCCATATAACGGAAGGATTCATAGTCTTATCATCTACAATCAACAATTTAATATCTTCAACACGACCATTCAACTGACACTTTGCCTTTGTTTTTCCTAAAAATCGTAAATGAGAATTATTTACACCATGATGTACTATTGTACTATCGTTAATCGGTAAAATAACCTCAGGATTGACAAATTTATTTTTTATTATCGATATCGGGCTGCCACTATCTAACAACGATACAATTTGAACTTCAAATACTCCCTCTTCGTTTTCAAATTTCAAAACAATACTCGGAAAATATTCAGCATTTAATTTATCATCTACGCTTATATTACTCACTTCTGTAGAATAATTATTTCTCTGCGAATTCGACGGACAATTAGCAATTGTATGCCTCATAGAGCCACAACGAAAAGAAGACCCTTTTTGTCTTCTCTCTTTCTTACATTGTGTTGCCATATGACCAAACATACCACAATTATAACAACGCTTTTTATTTCTCAAATAATTATTTTTTGTATCCAAAGATCGAAAAAGTTCACACAATCTCGACGATTATCTCTATTTTGATTTAATACAATAGGTTTTTTCACTATCGAAATTTTTTCGAATGCCAATAATAACTCCTCCGTGTTACGAAACCTTTGCATACGAGCCTGATCGCGCAACGAATCGTCCGGAATACCCTCAATTATGTACTCGACTAAATCTGCTTCGCCAATGTTTGCTTTATTTTCCAAAATAACTTTATTATATACATGTTCGCTAAACAATTCTTCTCGCGACCAAACAAGATCTTCAAATTGTCTACGCAATTTTACTCTACTTAATTGTGGAAAAAACATTTTTCTTAATTCAAACATTAATTGCGCAAACGGCATTGTTAAATGACACGGTCGAGAATGAAACCAAGTTAACGCTTTGCCATTTAATTTACCACTTATTACAATTCTAATTATTTCATCCGTTAAACCGTATCCCTTTCGAATCAAATCGACCTGTTGTGCCCAACTTTCAAAATTTTCACTATTACCGTCAAAAGTGCCCAAAAGTTCGCTAATTACATTAATAGATACTCGTGGGCTTTCCTCCACTCCTGGAAATGTTACCTGCTGATGATGAACATTTGAAGTCACTCTTGCCGTTGTCCTATGACCTTGAGGATCTGCAGATACATATGAAGTTCCATCACTGAGTATCATATTGCTTATCACTCTCGGAGAACTCTCGTTGGTGTGTCCCAAACCCAGTGAACCATGCGGAGCTCCTATAGGACCATGAATCAGAGAGACACTCGGAGGCGCTGATGACCAAAATATTGCATTGCCTATAAAAATGTCTATCGTACCTGATTTGTTAAAATCAGGGTCAGCCAATTTAATATGAGACGGAACTCCAATCGACCTTGCTTCGACCGGGAGGTTAGGTAAGTCAGATTTAATTTTAGGCACAACGAGACACGATACTCGCATTCCAAATGAACTTGCCCGAGAAACAATTTCAATTTCACATTTATGTTTAACGGCTAAAGGACAATCACTTATTGAACCTATATTAACATCAATTGGAACTTTTTTGAGGCCTAATTTGTCACAAAGCTTTGCTGAAATGAGATTACATTGTGACCCTGTATCTAACAAAGCCCTGGCTAAAATTTGTTTCTCCTTTGATCCTTTTGCCAGGACCAGTGCCGTCGACAGAATTCCGTCTTCCGCACCATGGAGTATAGACGTTACTGATGCAACCATTTTTTCTCCAGTTGCTGAAGAACTATCACGACCCACTGATTTACTTGATTTGAAATGCAGTAGCGTATTATGCTTCGCCTGACACTGCTTGCATCCCTGCGATCTGCATTCCCTTTGAAGATGACCTGGTCGCAGACAATTTAGGCACAATATGCACGACTTGACTCTTTCTGCTCTTTCTTACTCTAAAAGTGAAAGGAAATTAGGACATGATTGAATGTGATGCTCTTCTTTGCAAAGAGCGCAACTTATATTGTGAGCTAAAAATGCTCTTTTATTTTGCGGATTGTTTTTGTTATCAATTTTCGGTTTCGAATCTTTGTTATGTCTCATATTGCACTTCCAGTGTTTCTAATATAATTGCGCGTGACTCTAAACATTTTGCAAAGTCCTTAAGTGTAGAAATATCATTTTCGGTTTTTTCAGTTTCCCATGCTCGTAGTGTTTTATTATCTAATTTTGATGCAAGGAGATAAATTAGCAATGAGTCCCAATTTTCAGTTGATTGTCCTAAGAAATTTAAGGCCCTTAAATGTTTATTAATATTATCCAAGAGTCTACGAATTTGTACAGAACATTCTTTAACCCTTAAACCGCACCCTGGGTGTGCGACACCCATATTCTAGCTTTTTACTCTAATATTTCGGTTAAATTCGTAAAAATTGAACATGTGTCGTTATTCGACGATACATTTTGTACTTAACTTTATGTTCCGTGAGGGACATTAGTCTCCTAAATGTCTTTGAGTATTTGATAACTTTATGAAGTTGTCGGCGAAAAATTTCTGCATGAAGTTTGAGGACTTATTTCGGTACTTAAAAATCAATAAAAAAATTCACGAATCATCATTTCTTATGTTTTCACATGCGCTCTATCGAATGGAATTAAAAAAAAAGTCAAAAATTTATAAACAAAAAAGTTATTATTGTTTTTATAAAAAAAGTCCGATTTTTTTCTAATTTTTGTTTAATTTTCAATTTTTTCTACTATGAAATAGCGGATATACATATATATATATCCTATATATATATATTTTTATATTTCCATATTTCCATTTTATATTTCTATATATATATATTTTTATATATTTTTATATATATTTTTTTATATTTATATTTTATATTTTTTTTTTTATTTTTTTATATTTTTTTTATATTTTTATATTAATCTTGATTTTCGACTAAATTCATAAAATTTTTTAATTTTCCATCTAAATTATACTCGAAAAACACTTGTTTTTTTTTTTTTTTGTTTTTTTTTGTTTTTAAAAGAATTTAAAAATTTTTCAAAAATTAAAAATCGTCGTTTTTCTCTTTTTTTTTCTGTAGGAAATTTAAAAATTGTGATTTTTGTCGATTTCTTCAATTTTTTTTTTTCGAAAATTTTTGCAATAGTATAATTTCGACTAAATTCGTTATTTATTTTCATTTTCAAACAGAAATTTACTCGAAAAATCAGTTTTTAAACGATTTTTAAAATTTCTGAAAAATAAAAATTGGTGGATTTTTTCGTTTTTTTTGTACAGAAAATTTAAAAATCTTCATTTTCGACTAAATTCATAAAATTTTTTAATTTTCCATCTAAATTATACTCGAAAAACAAGTTTTTAAAAGAATTTGAAAATTTTTCAAAAATTAAAAATCGTCGTTTTTCTCGTTTTTTTTCTATAGGAAATTTAAAAATTGTGATTTTTGTCGATTTCTTCAATTTTTTTTTTCGAAAATTTTTGCAATAGTATAATTTTGACTAAATTCGTTATTTATTTTCATTTTCAAACAGAAATTTACTCGAAAAATCAGTTTTTAAACGATTTTTAAAATTTCTGAAAAATAAAAATTGGTGGATTTTTTCGTTTTTTTTTGTACAGAAAATTTAAAAATCTTGATTTTCGACTGAATTCATAAAATTTTTTAATTTTCCATCTAAATTATACTCGAAAAACAAGTTTTTAAAAGAATTTGAAAATTTTTCAAAAATTAAAAATCGTCGTTTTTCTCGTTTTTTTCTATAGGAAATTTAAAAATTGTGATTTTTGTCGATTTCTTCAATTTTTTTTTCCGAAAATTTTTGCAATAGTATAATTTCGACTAAATTCGTTATTTATTTTCATTTTCAAACAGAAATTTACTCGAAAAATCAGTTTTTAAACGATTTTTAAAATTTCTGAAAAATAAAAATTGGTGGATTTTTTCGTTTTTTTTGTACAGAAAATTTAAAAATCTTTATTTTCGACTAAATTCATAAAATTTTTCAATTTTCCATCTAAATTATACTCGAAAAACAAGTTTTTAAAAGAATTTGAAAATTTTTCAAAAATTAAAAATCGTCGTTTTTCTCGTTTTTTTTCTATAGGAAATTTAAAAATCGGGCAAGTGCGAGTTGCACTCGCATTAAGATCGAGGGTTCCGTACACCAAAATAAAACTCATTTTTTATAAAAAAAAAATATATATAAGAAATATAATTTATTAATATTAACATATATAAACCTATTGAGCTGAAAGTCGGTACACATATGTATTTTTATTACAAGTAGTATAGCTATGCCGGTTCTACGTCGTATCGGTAATGTAGATTCCTACTTACCGACCGCGAGGGTAAGTTACAGGGCGTTAGTGGGGTATATGTCGGTAATTTACCGGCCGTTGGTGGGGGTATAAGTTTCTGTCACTAGATGGCGTTAGTGGGGTATGTACCGGTAATTTACCCGCCGTTGGTGGAGGTATAATTTTCTGTCACTAGATGGCGTTAGTGGGGTATATGTCGGTAATTTACCAGCCATTGGTGGGGGTATAATTTTCTGTCACAAGATGGCGTTGGTGGGGTTTATGTCGGTAATTTACCAGCCATTGGTGGGGTACCTGATTTGCATATATTTAAATTAGTTAACACTTTTAATTGACGTTAGTGGGGTATTATATTTGCACTGTCCACCCTTTTGGACATAGAATATGCAAATACCACCCCCTCTCACCACCCACTCACCTATGTAAAATACATTGCTCTTAGTTAACCACCACCCCCCATCCACCCACTTTTTTTTCTATTACATACATATTTCCAATACTACCACCCACCACCACCCACTTAGTATAAACCAGAAATTTCAAAAATCATATAGAGAAGCGCAAGGGACTAAGCGTTCGCGAGATACCGCGCAGGCGTTGTGGGTAGTAAGAGTGGGTGGTGGTGGGTGGTGTGGTAAGGCCCAGTGCGCAGCAAAAGTGCGCGTACGGTTACCGCGTTGAGTGAGTGAAAGTTCCATCCGTCAGACCTGTCTGTCTGACTCTCACAGCTTGCTTTACTAATACTATAGCACCATAGGGATAAATGTATTGTCCAAAAATATGTAAGCAAGTTTCAACTTGTCTTTTTCCAAGATAACAATAGTATTATTTGAAAATCTTTAAACAAGTTTCAACCTGCATCTTGAATAGAATAAAGAGCTTGTCTAAAAAACCTTTAGACAGGCTTTAACCTGACTGTAGATGAGAACAAAGACATTCCTTAAAAACCCTTTTAGTGACGTCATTTTATGCGAGTTTGAATACGTCTTCTAAATGACTCTTCTTTTGAGGTAGTTGCGTGCGCAGTCGTTAAAGTGGGGGTAAAAGAGTGAGAGTTGAAGAAGAGTGGGATTTAAAAGGTATAAGGTAAGTTGGAATCCACATTCGACACTTCTGCTTCAGTTTTCATCATCATTAGTAACTCCAACATAATCGACAGTATCAACAACTTCAGCATCTACAGCAACATTAGCAGTGTCAGCGGCTTTAACAACTACAGCATCATCTATTCCTATAATAGGTGAATTTTCTTTCTTTAATTGAATCAATTTTTATTCTAAATTTGTTTTTTTAAATTCAATATTAAGAATACATCTTTTTTCTTTGCTTACAGATATTAAAACAATGGAGTTCCAAAAAGTCAACGCCATTGGTCGTATGGAGAGATTTCTACCAACGAAGCCACTTTCTGAGTTGACTGTGAATGAGTCATACAATGTAACTAAAATAAACAAGGTGCAGACGAAATATGGTTCCAGGATTGTAGTAGACCTGGATGCTGCTTTTACAACTTTTCTTCCGGCAAGGTTCGCAAAACTATTTGAAGCTGACCCTACCTCCTTCATAATGATGGAAGAAGCCGTGCAATCGGAGAAGTTGCGTTTAAAATATATTGGTGGTAAATTTAATGTTATTGAATTTGAATAAAAATAAATATTATAAGATTATACCGTAAAAATTCTGTAAATATTTAAAGGCTTATAATAATAATAAAAAAATTACTTTTAAATTGCTTCTTTTCTACCTTTTCTACCTTCATATTTCAAACAAGCTTTTAAATAATTAAATTTTGTATAAAATTGTATAAGTCAATTTTTATTAAAGTTAAAGAAAAAAAATTTGTTTTTTCAAGTATATAGTATTAAAGGAGTATGTATACAAAGAAAGAAAGACAACATTTTTAAAATTATAAAATTCATTTATTCAAATGTATATAGAAATTTAAACTTATTACAATAGTTTTTTATAATTTTCATAAAATGATTTTAAATTAGTATTCACATCATCCACTTCATCGATACCATATGAGAAGTTTCTCAGTTCACTCGTTACATTTTAAAACCAATTTCAAAGCTTAAATATATTATTTACTGCACAATTTTCAGTTTGTGTAATATGATGTGTACATGTGGGTAGTAAAAAATGCAGTTTTAATATTCTTAAACGCTGGACAGTCAATTTCTTCTAAATTGTGTACATTCATTAAATATTTTTCTAACCACTGCTTTTTTCACAACCTTTAACATAGATAGTCTTTGCTCCTCATAATACGTCCTGTAAAATGGTTCGCACTTCATTGTAACACACATCTCCAGCCATCCAAGGGATTGAATGATAATTGTTTGTAAACCACAGGTTTTCACGTTTGTAACGTCCAGGTAGTGAATTCCAAGCACAAGATGGTTCAAAGAGGTAAACTCTTGGTTGAGCATCTGCCTCCAGAGGAACTATGGCCAATTCTTTAAAAATAAACTCATTACATTGCTTTTTGAAACCTTGAACGCCTACTATGAACTCCATTTTAGATTAGAAATGAGTTTCTACTTCAGGAAGGTGTCTTACATACCTCTCCACTTCATTCTCCCCACCACTTCTTATAACTTCTTAATAATCCCAATGATTGGTTTATACTGTACTACACGATCATGTATAACGAGACAATATGCAGTTGTCTGCTCAGGCAACGTCATTATTCACGTAAAAATCAGTGAATATTTGCATGAAGACATCCACTGATACAAGAATACATCTTATTAAGTTTAAAAATATTAATGTAAAAAAGTTATATATATATAACGTTTCTTAAAGTTGACTTGAATTTTCTACAAAGTAAATTCAACTTTTCCAAATGTTAACTTTAATACTCTGTCTACTAATGTGACAGTTACCATCTAAAATCTTCTACTTGAGTTGTTGGATAGAAATTGACTACTGACACTTTTGCATCTACAGTTCATGCTTACACAGAATTCTTTAAAAACGGTTACAGTCATAAGCTTCTGCACTAGCAGTCTGGCATTCTGACTTAGTGAATTGATCACATGAATTCAGCCACATTGTGAGGCTTTACTAGATTTGATAGATGGTTAACTTTTTCAAATGTTAGCTTTAACTTTTATAAAAGTTAACTTTAACTTTTCCAGTAGTTAACTTTAACTTCCTAAAAGTTAATCTTAACTTTTTTAATAATGCATAGAGAAAAATGGAGTATTCAACAAACTATCTGGAGGGACAAACAGACTGTATTTAAGGTTAAATGTTTTGTAACCATCTCGGAGGGATAAATAGATACTTTGAAGATCAAGTTGACTATCTCGGAGGAAAAAGTTAACTATCTAGAGAATCAGGCTAACACTTAAAACCTAACCCTCTCACTTTGGCTATCCAGTTTTCTCAGAGTGAAGGAGCAGAGAGAATTCCTTGCAAACAACATATATACACCGAAAAAAATTCTTGTGAAATTTACAGGATTTCCTGCGCCATCTATGAGCCACGGTTGTAGTCAATCATATTTAAATGTAACTCTGTGATTTGTCTCTTTGTATTACTACAATTTTTATATTAGTTTTACCTATTCCGTTTTCTGTCTGATTCAACCATACTGAGTGTCAGTATTAAAAACCCAGCTTTCGTGTGTGAAACAGGATGTTAGGTGCGTTTGTTAAAAGCGTTGTGCGCAGACGTATTCGAAACAAACAAAGTGGAATGGCAATATGGTTGTATTAGCCAGAATTATCACAGTTTCAGTGTCAATTCGCCTGTATAAAGCACAACTTAACCTATTCGTATATTCTACAAAAGACCTTGTGTTTTTCACAAGAAATTTTTTTCCGTGCATGTATCCTGACGCGGTGGATGGGACCATGCATTCAAAAAGTGAGTTATACAGAAAGTGTAAAGTTGAGCCCCCAATTAATATCTTTTGCTTAAGCAATGCATAACCTCTACATCGACGATGCTTAGGTTTACATTGTTTTAATATTATAGAGTTCTGCAAAGACTACGCATTGCTCAAGATATATTTGTCTATTTTGGCTCTGTTAAAGTCAAAACAAAAGTATGTGAATGACATGTAAGGTAGTAGACGAAAATACAGAGGGACTGATTTTTTGAAGTGCCTTCTATCTGCATGTAAAAAACTTCAAATTGACAAAAGTTTTACCGTTAAGAATAAAAAAATGTATAAGTAAAAACAATTTTTCACTTTTGTATATGAAAAAACAACTGAAAAACTATATAGAATTGTATTAATAACTAAGACTTAATTTTTTTGGACGTAAGGTTCCCTGTACTTCGTGAGGATACATATGAAATTTAAATTACAAGTTAATAAATTTAAACTGAAAAAATTGAATTTCTTTTAAATATTTAAAAATATGAATTCATGTAAAATATATACTACACTAAGAAAGCTTTGGCTCAGCAGCAGACTTTAGATAGGCTGCTACTGACTATTTTGGTGAAACGCTATAAGACTATACTTTTGGGTTGCTGCGGAAAAATTTTGGGCGCGTGACAGTCCTAAAGTTGTTAAGCTGCAAACCAATGGCGGTATCCCCACTACTTTGGTAAGCTGCTCACCAACATTTTGGACAGTCACACACCCAAAATTGTACGGCAGCGCACCAAAACTGTAGTGGAGCCGCTGTCACATATGTTGTTTCGCTACAGTTCCAAAGGTCTCTCAGTGTATATTTTGAGGTTATCATGCTTATACTAAGTCAATTAAAAACGATTACAGTCCTAACACTCCAGCATTCTAACTCAGTGAATTGATAACATGGTTTCATTGACATTGTGAGGATTTAATAGGTTTGGTAGATGGTTAACTTTTCCAATTTTCAAAAAGTTAACTTTAACTTTTTCAATAGTTAACCTTAACTATTGTAAAAGTTAACTTTAACTTTTCCAATAGTTAACTTTAACTTTTCCAATAGTTAACTTTAACTTTTCCAATAGTTAACTTTAACTTTTCCAATAGTTAACTTCAACTTTTCAAAAAGTTAACTTTAACTTTTCCAATAGTTAACTTCAACTTTTCAAAAAGTTAACTTTAACTTTTCCAATAGTTAACCTTAACTTTTGTAAAAGTTAACTTTAACTTTTCCAATAGTTAACTTTAACTTTTCCAATAGTTAACTTCAACTTTTCAAAAAGTTAACTTTAACTTTTCCAATAGTTAACCTTAACTTTTGTAAAAGTTAACTTTAACTTTTCCAATAGTTAACTTTAACTTTTCCAATAGTTAACTTCAACTTTTCAAAAAGTTAACTTTAACTTTTCCAATAGTTAACTTCAACTTTTCAAAAAGTTAACTTTAACTTTTTCAATAGTTAACTTTAACATTTTCAATAGTTAACCTTAACTTTTGTAAAAGTTAACTTTAACTTTTCCAATAGTTAACTTCAACTTTTCAAATAGTTGACTTCAATTTGACTGGTATCATTGTTTTCTTAATACAAACAGTATAGTAAAAATACAATCTTTGTATTATAAGGACACAATGATGCCAGTCAAAATAACTTTAACTTTTCAAAAAGTTAACTTTAACTTTTTCAATAGTTAACTTTAACTTTTGTAAAAGTTAACTTTAACTTTTCCAATAGTTAACTTCAACTTTTCAAAAAGTTAACTTTAACTTTTTCAATAGTTAACTTTAACATTTTCAATAGTTAACCTTAACTTTTCAAAAAGTTAACTTTAACTTTTTCAATAGTTAACTTTAACATTTTCAATAGTTAACCTTAACTTTTGTAAAAGTTAACTTTAACTTTTCCAATAGTTAACTTCAACTTTTCAAATAGTTGACTTCAATTTGACTGGTATCATTGTTTTCTTAATACAAACAGTATAGTAAAAATACAATCTTTGTATTATAAGGACACAATGATGCCAGTCAAATTAACTTTAACTTTTTCAATAGTTAACCTTAACTTTTGTAAAAGTTAACTTTAACTTTTCCAATAGTTAACTTCAACTTTTCAAAAAGTTAACTTTAACTTTTTCAATAGTTAACTTTAACATTTTCAATAGTTAACCTTAACTTTTGTAAAAGTTAACTTTAACTTTTCCAATAGTTAACTTCAACTTTTCAAATAGTTGACTTCAATTTGACTGGTATCATTGTTTTCTTAATACAAACAGTATAGTAAAAATACAATCTTTGTATTATAAGAACTCAATGATGCCAGTCAAAATAACTTTAACTTTTCAAAAAGTTAATTTCAACTATTTAAATAGTTGACTTCAACTTTTTAAATAGTTGAAATTAACTTTTCAAAAAGTTGACAATTGTGCTAAACAAGATATTCTTAGATGGTCACTTTAGTTACATAAGCTGACTTGGAAATATGTTAACATCATATAGGGTAAATGTATTAGTGGTCGGACACTTAAGGTCATGTTATTTAGTGGTCACGTGTCCCATATACTTTACTATAAGTCACGTGACCATTGAATAACATAACCTTAAGGATACGATCTTATATTATTGACAAGTAGCTACTTGCTTTTTAAGCTTATTATCGATTAAAGGAGTCTTTCAAGAATAAAAACTATATAAACTTGTTACAAATACTCAAGTATTTAATAAAATATAATCATTTTAATGAAAAATAACGACAGCTTCAGTAGGCGGAGTTTTTTTTTATTTTTTCTATAGTCGGACATGTG